ACCTGAGTGCAATCCCACAGTGAGTCTTTCCAGGTGACAAATCGGGGCTCTGAAGGAAGCATATGGCCTGAAATACAATTCAGAATTTGATCTGGGCCCATGAGAACTTCTGACCCACAATGGCCCTAGAATGTGAATTGGCATGAAACCCAGCATTGTGGATGTGGGGTGATTTCAGAGATGGGGTTCACCAACATTAGGTGGCGGTTTTAGGTCACATCCCAGGAGTAGTTCCAGATTGGGGTTGGTTCCAAAGGAAACTGGTCTTCATATCCTCTTTAATGTGTCTATCCTCAATTTTTGTGCTCAAGCCAAAGGCTATAATTTCTCTACTAGACTCCCAGACTTCCACAAGGGAGCCCTCATCTGTGGGTGGTGGTCAAAATTGATGTGGAATTCAGGTGTGATTGTAGAAATCACTTATTCTGCAATCCTGCTGATGCCTCTCAGGATGTCTACTCTGCCTCTCTGACAGCCTCCAAGTTTTGATGTAAGTCCATCATTCTCTTTCTTAATAATGCATAAATTCAAGCACCTATTTTCTGATTTAGCATATCACTTATTTCAGGCTGGTTGGAGACTTTTCATATCTTCTTAGGTCTGACTGCTAACTAATTGCAACCTACTCAGGGTACATAATGTACAGGAGAGCAGTTTGAACAGATGTAAAGAGACTATCTATTTAGCCTAATAAATGTTAAATATTATAGGTACAATATTAGTCTTAAACACACAAATTTTTCCTGCTGCTATTTATATTACCTTATTTATACATTACAAATAACTTTATCCATATTTATGTAATATAAATAATACAAAGATTAATAATTTGTACTACTAGACCAGGCATTTGTGTCATTCGCTCTTATTAAAAAAAGTTTTTTTCACCCATTTCATTTATCTTATAAATGTTCAGTTGAGTCTCCAATTATGTACAGACCTTATGTATTTCAAGGACATGTGATGACTGTGCGTTTAATATAGTATTTTAAAAACTAAAATGAATTTTATAACACATTATTGCATCATATTGTTGAATATTTACATAGCAATCAGCTGATTTTATTAAATAATAACAACACATTCTTTATTCATACAACATACCTTTTAATGATTTTGTTTGAGATCAGATTGTATGGCTGCTTACATTTGGTTTTATTGGCAGGTGTCCTTTGATCTATCCCTTGAGCCAGTCCATTAATCTTTTAATGTTTGGTAATAAGTGAAAAATAAGTGAAATTTTAATAGTTACCACCTCTTATTTAAGTAGGAGTTTTCTGTTAAGTAGCTTTTAACCTTTAAAGATTTTAAATCATTTTTTATTTTTCATCTACAGTTGACATACAATTCATACAATTCATGGTGATTAGACATTATATAATGTTTTAAGTGATCATCCTGGTAAATCTTATACCCATTGGACACCATACATAGATATTGGAATATTATTGACTATGTTCCTTATGATGTACTTACATCCCATTCAATTTGTACATCTTTTTAAAAATATATATATATTTTTATTGATTTTATACAGGAAGGGAGAGGGAGAGAGAGAAACATCAATGATGAGAGAGAATCATTGATTGGTTGCCTCCTGCACGCTCTCTCCTGGGGATTGTGATCTTGACTGGAATCAAACCTGGGACCCTTCCGTCTGCAGGGCGATGCTCTATCCACTGACCCAAACCAGCCAGGGTAATTTGTACTTCTTAATCCCCTCACCTTTTTCACCCAGCCCCCACTCCCCACTCATCTGGTGAGAACCAAGTTGTTCTCTGAATCTATGACTTTGTATCCATTCGGCTTGTACATTTATTTTGATCTTTAGATTCAAATGTTGATGGATACCTATTAATTGCAATTTTATCACTCATATTTATTCCTCCTCATTCTCCTCCATCTTCTTCTTCTTCTTCTTCTTCTTCTTCTTCTTCTTCTTCTTCTTCTTCTTCTTCTTCTTCTTCTTCTTCTTCTTCTTCTTCTTCTTCTTCTTCTTCTTCTTCTTCTTCTTCTTCTTCTTCTTCTTCTTCTTCTTCTTCTTCTTCTTCTTCTTCTTCTTCTTCTTCTTCTTCTTCTTCTTCTTCTTCTTCTTCTTCTTCTTCTTCTTCTTCTTCTTCTTCTTCTTCTTCTTCTTCTTCTTCTTCTTCTTCTTCTTCTTCTTCTTCTTCTTCTTCTTCTTCTTCTTCTTCTTCTTCTTCTTCTTCTTCTTCTTCTTCTTCTTCTTCTTCTTCTTCTTCTTCTTCTTCTTCTTCTTCTTCTTCTTCTTCTTCTTCTTCTTCTTCTTCTTCTTCTTCTTCTTCTTCTTCTTCTTCTTCTTCTTCTTCTTCTTCTTCTTCTTCTTCTTCTTCTTCTTCTTCTTCTTCTTCTTCTTCTTCTTCTTCTTCTTCTTCTTCTTCTTCTTCTTCTTCTTCTTCTTCTTCTTCTTCTTCTTCTTCTTCTTCTTCTTCTTCTTCTTCTTCTTCTTCTTCTTCTTCTTCTTCTTCTTCTTCTTCTTCTTCTTCTTCTTCTTCTTCTTCTTCTTCTTCTTCTTCTTCTTCTTCTTCTTCTTCTTCTTCTTCTTCTTCTTCTTCTTCTTCTTCTTCTTCTTCTTCTTCTTCTTCTTCTTCTTCTTCTTCTTCTTCTTCTTCTTCTTCCTCTTCTTCTTCTCCCAAAAGACCCTTTAACATTTCATGAAATACAGTTTCGGTGGTAACCCTGTCCCACCCTTTCGGAGCCCCACCTTTGCAGCACCTTTTTCCATAAGAATGGCCTGTCCTTGCTCAGGACTCAGACTTTCCTAAAATCTCTCAAACAAGCAGCAGCTGGTTTCCCTGTGCCCCATAACACTCAATAAGAGACTAAATCCCTGCCATTAGCAGCAGCCTGCCTGGCATCACGGCTTGGCCTGCCCTGGGCACTTCCAAGGCCAACACAAGTAGCAGCCATCTGCAGATCACTCTGTAGCTCCTCTCAGGTGACCCAGGACTTTACACCTCCCTGGAGGCCCAGAACGACTGTACCCAGTGAACAGCTTCAGAAAATACCAGATTACAACTCTACACATCCATCAGAGACACACTCAAGGGGCAGACTCAGTGAGCACCAAAGCCCCACTGAAGCAAGTCCTGCTCCATAGGAGTGCCTCCTGCACAGCAGCTCCTCCATTATATTCACAACTGGTCCTCACAATTAATTGGCGTGGAGGTCAATTCCTCCCTGAGACACCAATAGCAATTAAGGCTCAACTACAACAAGATAGTGCACACAGCCAACACATGGGCACACCTAGAGTGCCCAGCTCAGGTAACTGGGGAGGCTGAGCCACTGGGTCCTACAGGACACCTACTATGCAAGGCCACCCTACCAATTCCAGGGGACACAGAAGCTCTACATAATACCTAGAAGCAAGCACAGGGAAGAATCCAAAATGCAGTGACAAAGAAACATATCCCCAATGAAAAAAAAGGAAGAAATCTCCAGAAAAAGAACTTAAAGAAATGGAAGCAAACAAACCACTAGATACAGAGCTCAAAACAATGGTCATAATGTTGCTCAAGGATCTTGATAAGAACTTCACGGGTCTCTTGTAGGCAGCAAAAAATAATGTTAATAAATAAATAAATCAGTAAATATATTACATAATTAATAAATATTTTATTTTTTTAAGTCAAAATCAGAACTCCAACCCAAATCAATGTACCCTAAAGCTTGAAGGCTGGATCACAGGGTGAGGAGGAAACTTTAACACAGGAAGCAAGGGGCACTGAGGAGGAAAAATGATTCAGAAGTTTGTCCCCAAGAAGCGGCGGTAGATGCTGTGGCTACGAAAAAAAGAGAAGTCCTCGAAGGCAGCTGTGAGAGAAATAAAGCCACAGTCAGGGCCAGGAGAAGTGACGTGTTTCCTTCCCTTATTTCCCTGCATTTCCCTCTGTGCTCATTGTCACAGGGACATCGCCCTGAGCTGCACAGTAAGAAGTGAGCTTGTCCCTGCTGATCTGAGCTCTGCAGGCCACAGGGACCCACGTCTTCCTGAAGCGTCTCCAGGGTTCAGGTGACACTGTCCATGGTGAGGACCCCAGGGAGGTGCTGATGGACGGGCTGAGGAGGAAGGAGACCCCGTGGGGGAGGCTCTGACAGGGAAGGATGTGCCCTGGGTCACCTCACCTGCCTGGGGTGTCTCAGGAGGCTCTGGGTCTATTTCCTGCTTCACCATGGAAACAAGATGCAGGCCTCTGGGTAGTGAATGTTCCCCTTTCTGTGGGGCTGCTGAGGTGAGAGCCCTGTCACAGGGAGGGCCAGTCTCCCAGGGGCCACACCCTATGTGTCTGTCTATTCTGAGGACACTGTGGCCTCCTGCATCTGCACAGCGAGGTGTAAAGAGAGGAGACGCCATGACCGCCACCCTCACGGCCCTGCTCTGCCTCGGTGAGATGGGAGGGGGACAGAAAACTTCCCCTACCTGGTGAAAGAAATAGACTTACAAGTCCAGGAAGCGCAGAGAACCCCAAACAAAAGGAATCCAAAGAGGACCACACCAAGACACATCATAATTAAAATGCCAAGAGCAAAAGACAAAGAGAGAATCTTAAAAGCAGCAAGAGAAAAAAAGTCAGTTACCTATAAGGGAGTACCCATACGACTGTCAGCTGATTTCTCAACAGAAACTTTGCAGGCCAGAAGGGAGTGGCAAGAAATATTCAAAGTGATGAATAGCAAGAACCTACAACCAAGATTACTTTATCCAGCAAAGCTATCATTCAGAATTGAAGGTCAGATAAAGAGCTTCACAGATAAGGAAAAGCTAAAGGAGTTCATCACCACCAAACCAGTATTATATGAAATGCTGAAAGGTATCCTTTAAGAAGAGGAAGAAGAAGAAAAAGGTAAAGATACAAATTATGAACAACAAATACACATCTATCAACAAGTGAATCTAAAAATCAAGTGAATAAATAATCTGATGAACAGAATGAACTGGTGATTATAATAGAATCAGGGGCATAGAAAGGGAATGGACTGACTATTCTTGGGGGGGAAAGGGGTGTGGGGGATGCGAGAAGAGACTGGACAAAAATCGTGCACCTATGGATGAGGACAGTGGGTAGGGAGTGAGGGCGGAGGGTGGGGTGGGAAGTGGGAGGAGGGGAGTTATGGGGGGAAAAAAGAGGAACAAATGTAATAATCTGAACAATAAAGATTTAATTTAAAAAAAATTAAAGATCACTCTGTAGCTCCTCTCAGGTGCCCCAATAAGTACTTGACTTTATACCTCCCTGGAGGTCCCAGAATGACTGTACCCAGTGAACAGCTTCAGACAATACCAGATTACAACTCTACACATCCAGCAGAGACACACTCAAGGGACAGACTCAGTGAGCACCAAAGCCCCGCTGAAGCAAGTCCTGCTCCATAGGAGTGCCTCCTGCACAGCAGCTCCTCCATTATAGTCACAGCTGGTCCTCACAACCAATTGGCCTGGAGGTCAATTCCTCCTAGTGATGCCAATAGCAATCAAGGCTCAACTACATCAAGACAGTGCACACAGCCCACACATGGGCGCACGTACAGGGCCCAGCTCAGGTAACTGGGGAGGCTGAGCCACTGGGCCCTACAAGACACCTACTATGCAAGGCTACCCTCCCAATTCCAGTGGACATAGCAGCTCCACATAATACATAGAAACAAGCACAGGGAAGCAGCCAAAATGCAGACACAACGAAAAATGTCCCCTATGAAAGAAAGGAAGAAAGCTCCTGAAAAAGAACTAAATGAAATGGAAGCAAACAAACTACTACATACTGAGTTCAAAACAATGGTTATAAGGTTGCTCAAGGATCTTAATAAGAGCTTCAAGGGGCTTAATGAGAATTTCAAGAATCTTAGAACATCAAAGACACGAAAAAGAACCAGTCAGAAATTACACATACACTAACTGAAATAAAGAATCATTAACAGGGATTCAACATTAGAATACAGGATGCCAAGAATTAAATCAGCAATTTGGAATATGAGGAAGCATAAAACGCCCAATCAGAAAAGCAAACAGAATCTAAAAATATGAAGATAGTGTAAGGAGCCTCTGGGACAACTTCAAGGGTACCAACATTCACATTATGGAGGAGCCAGAAGGAGAAGAGACAGAGCAAGATATTGAAAAGCTTTTGGAAAATACAGTGACAGAAATCTTCCCCTACCTGGTGAAAGAAATATACTTACAAATCCAGTAATTACAGAGTCCCAAGCAAGAGGAACCCCAGGAGGCCCACACCAAGACACATCATAATGAAAACACCACGGATTAAAGACAAAGATATCATCTTAAAAGCAGTAAGAAAAGCAGTTACCTAAAAGATACCGCATATATCACTGTCAGCTGATTTCTCAACACAAACTTTGCAGACCAGAAGGAAGTGGCAGTGATGCAAAGCAAGGACCTACAACCAAGATGACACTACACAGCAAAGCTATCATTAAGAGTGGAGGGTCAGATAAAGAGCTTCACAGAGAAGAGAAGGCTAAAGGAGTTCATCACCAACAAATCAATATGAAATGGCAAGAGGAAGAAGAAGAAGAAGAAGAAGAAGAAGAAGGAAAATAAAGAAAAAGAAGAAGAATAAGAAGAAGAAGAAGAAGAAGAAGAAACAAGAAAATGGCAATAAATACATATCCAGCAACAATTGATCTAAAAATCATCTTAATCAAATATGGAATCTAATGAACAAAATAAACTGATGAGAATAAAGAAGAACCAGAAGCATGGACTGATGAATTTCAGAAGGAAGGGGGAGGTGGTCAGGAAGAGATTAAACAAAGATTATAGGCACATATGATGGGAT